ATGTTATCACAATCCACGATATAATCCTACATCGTTCCATCTCTACTTTATATCATCAATATGTTCTGTTTGTCGTGTGTGTGTTTCATAATTGATGGCGATATCTGCTGGTTTGGCTGCCATGCTATGTTTTTGTTAAAAAAAAAAGAATATATACAGAATACTTTTTTGTTTGAGAGAATGAAAGAAAATAAAATTATTTTTTACCATCAACACTTGAAATGATGAAGGCACTTTGGTTAGGGTTAGGAGATTCATCCTATGTCACATCTTTACTGGGTTTATTTCTCTTTATTTATATTTAGCCTTGACAAAACACTAGCAACGGGTTGCAAGTGGGAAAAAAACATTATATTACTTAGTCAATTCAAATAGCTTATACCAAGGGATAGCCAAGAAATGAAACTCTGTATGCTGCACTTTAATCTTGTGTTCACATAACTATAATTAGGTTCGCGGGACTCAGGCCCGTGCCTGCTCACAGTGGACATGGAAAGAAAAGGGGGCTGCCGTTCACTTCCCTCCTTCCCCTCCTCTTGCCCCTCTGCTTTGAGGAGGCAAAATTGGTTCCAGATGCATTCTCTCACGGTTAGCCTCCATAACCGAATCACAACATGAAAGAAACAAAGTTTTCACAAAACCTCGGTAGAGAAATATGGAATGTATGGCATTTCTACACAAAAATAAGTGTGGGGAAGACGTCCCAAGATAAGCCATTAGCTTCCTACGGCCAGACCACTTTCCCACATGGTGTAATTTATTACACCTTTTTTGGGGACTTTGTGAGACTTGTATTACTGTCACAAGCCTTTGAGAGACAATGTGCACCCCAAATGACGATCTAAAGAGCTGTGTTGCTTTCATGTTCCTGGCAGATGTGTCAGAAGGCAACAAAAAAAATTGATGCAAAGTGATATTTATCCAGAGCAAATCCACATCCTGCACCCATGTGGACTGATCAAAGACCTACAACCAGCATGTTAGACTAATGTAGAACCCTGCCTGTGTGGAGCCCCTTCGGATAAAACACGAGCCACGGGAAGCTAAGATACAGGAGTCAAAATGATATTAAAGAGTGGCAACCGCTGAAGGTCTCTTCACAAGACGCCTCCACAAATGGCTAAAAACAATGTAGCAGCAAAGGGGCAGCTCCATGTTGACTCAGCCAATTAACAAGTGAGAGCAGTTTCACGGCCAGTTGTCCAGCAGCACCGACGCACACCTCTGTGTTTGCCCGACGAGCTCAACGAGTCCGAGAGAATTAATTAGCACCTCGAGAGGCTAGAGACACATTCTGCTTACATGCGCTGGCTTCTTTAAGCAGCCAGACCCCAGTGAAGACGGCCGGCAGTGGTTCGTCCCAAGTCTCCGGTCTGTCTCCCCTGAGAAAGCTCATGATTTACAACTAAACCCAGAGCTACACACCTGTGCAGATATCCTATCAATACCTGGTATTAATTAAAAAATAACGTTCCGCTTAAAGTTTGCCGGTGCTCACGAAACTAACGGAGCTTTTTTTTTTTTTGGTGTGAGAATGATATGGGGATAAGGCGCCAACAAGTTAAACCATGAAGTTTTTTTATGGAAGTAAATGCGTTTTGAGGGTATGGGAGGAATGCCGAATAGAAGAATGGGTCCTGTTGATTCTTAAAATGTCTTACAAAATAACCCTAGAAGCTGTGTGCATTAGCTAATAACCGAGGAGGACTAAACGTGCTACATTCTTCATAACGTTTGCCATCGCGGTAACGGTTCAGTTTCACTATTTTCCCCCGATCCGCAGTGTCAGCTCTTCCTTTCCTATCCCCGGCTATGTGTCACACAAGGAACCGAGTAACTGTACTTTCAAAACTCGTAGGCTACAGCCTGCCAGCAGTCAAACATTAGGAGAGGGAACCCACCGGGGAACGCGTATAATAACGACGCCATAGTTGCCCGAAAACTTCAAAGGCTCGTCTAAAAAGATGATCCTGTTGTCAGAAAACGCTCCACAGCATGCTAACCCGAGACGTCCCGTTCTCCGAGACGGACAGAGTGTCATGCTAACATTCACTCCAGTAATGGATTAACTCAAGGTATCGTCGCTTTGCTTTTCGGCAAAAGGACAAACGTAAACATCACCACGAAAACCCTTAAGATAATATCACAGACGCACGCTTTAATTCGGCGTTCAATAAATACACTAAACATGATTAAATGACAACTTTTACAATTGTTTCCCCCGGTATTCCCACAGTCAATTCGCACCGAGACGCTCCGTGTTGGGCGGTAGCTAGCGCGGTGTACTACTGGATACAATGTATCCGTTTTATTGAGAAAAGTGCAGGTTTCTGTACGTTTTGTTGCCCGAATTCACCAGAGGACTTTTGTGATTCAGGAGACGTCGCGACGACCAGTCTGCGAGGTGTTCAACTCCACTAATAAGCAAGGCAATATCACGTTGTCAGATTTGTGAATGGAGTTTGGCGTGAAGTTGTCACTCTTACATTCAGAGCGAGATCTCGGGCTAACGGGATGGCAGCTGTCAGTGAATCAACAAGTTCGTCCCGACCTGCAGGGCACGAACGACAGATGGCTTTAGGCTTGAATTATACACCGTTCTGTCATTTTTCAGCAAGTTAACCAAATTCATTAGAGACGCAGACGGTATAATGGACACATGACATACAGCTGGAAGCAAAGACACGGGCGGACTCACCCTGAGCTCCGAGCGGCTGGCAGTAAAAGTTGACGGCGAGGAAGAAAGTGATGATCTGGAAACACACACGCATCTTATTGAAATCCTAAAGGGCATCGTGGACAAGAAGACATAGAAAACACTGGTGCTGTGACATGCTCCATGAATCCCCTGTTAACTCGCTCTCTCTCTCTGTCCACAGCTTCCAGTTGAGTGTGTGGACCGCAGAGGACATGCGCAGAACGGGGGACGAGACCGGTTAACGGTGACCACCACCCTTCAGGCTTTTTGATACAGATCCACACAGTTCATTCGTACTCATTAGATTCAAACAGATGTAAGAATATATGACTGAGGGTTTTAAACACCATAAAAAGTCTTGTCCAAGATGGCAGCGTAAAAAGTTTTACCACATAAAACACAAATAACAGACAGAAAAAAGTTTAAAAATAACTTTAAATCATTTTTAATATTCACATAAAAGAGACAACAGACGTAAAACAAACCAGCAAATTGCACCTTAAAAGATTGGAGAATTAATTTTTTTTTATTTCTGCAATATCTGCACCTGTGCTCGGGGCAACTAAATCATGGTGAACCTTTTTTTGTGCTTCTGTAAATGATGGTCTGCATTTGTACATCCACCCCAACACTGAAAACATGCTTCCCTCTCAACACAATCCAAGGCTGCAATTACACAGTTCAGCCACACCCTCCTCACTCTACTTGTCAGTCACTCCCTCCTCATCAGTCTAACTCCCTTCACCTGTTCACCCACCTGCCTCTGATCAGTAATCAAGCCCCTCTATAGACTCCTGCCTCCCAGACACATTTGCCAGATTGTTCCTCGGTTTGCTATGCCAGACTCTCCAGCACGCTCTCATGGCCTGATCTCCCGCCTTGCCTGACTCCCGGTAAACCCACCAGCCTTCTGATCCTGATCCTGACCCTGTTTAAACTCTGCCTGCTGTTATTTAAGTTTGTAATAAAAGCCAAAGATCTGTGAAATCTTGTGTGTTGCATTTGGGTCCATATACAACCGGTTACACAAAATCTCTTTTGGCAGAACAAATTAGTAGTATGAACGTTCTAGGACAGGGGTCAGCAACCTTTACTATCCAAAGAGCCATATTTTTTACCAAATAAAATTTGTCTGGAGCCGCAAAAGCTATTTGATATCAGTTTATAAAGTTGTATATAGTTATATTATATATATATACAAAAACTATAGTTTGTTGTATTTATGAAATTATAGAACAAAAATAAAGACAGTTCTTGATATTTTATTGCTATTTTACCTGTTCTAACAATATCAAACTCTTATGAAGAGGAGAGTTTGCTGCAGCAGTTGAGAAATCATCTCCAGCGTGACACTTTTCAGCAAATGCTGTGTGCTTGTTCTGGAAGTGTCTTTCAACATTACATTTTTTGTTGTTTGCTAATTTCTCGCCACATTTCAAGCATACAGGTAAGCCAGCATCGTTGGCAGTGAAAGCAAATGAATACATCCACGCAGAATTAAACTCTCTATTTTCCTCCGGGACTTTTCTTTTTTTGGGATTCATCCATTGATAGTTTACCGAGGACGAGGGTCTGCAGATCATGATTAGCCACCCGCAGGGAAAGGCGCCTGACAGCGACGTAATAGGATGTGACACATCTGTGTCACATTTTAGTTGACAAAATATTAAAACATTTTTTTATTTTCAGTGACACAGTATCACCTCAAACTCCAAGATAAGAGGTGTTCCCTTTGAAAGAGTGTCCACTGTGCATAAAAATAACTTATTTATTTCCATGTTATTTTTTGTGAAAGCCCGAGGCCGTGTCCACACTACTACGTTGTTGTTTTGCTACGTTTACACCAGGGGTCACCAACCTTTTTGAAACTGAGAGCTACTTCAAGGGTACTGAGCAGTATGAAGGGCTACTTGTTTGATACAAACTTCCTGAATAACAAAGTTGCACAGATCACCTTTTAATAATCATAATATACAGTATGTGAAGAGACTGATCACATGTCAATGTTAATTATTCCTCACAATAATTATTAACAATGATTGTGTATTTTGTTCAAAATCGCACCTGTTATATTTTTGTAAAAATGATCACTTCTAAAAAAAATGAGGAAATCATTAACTGTCATATCTTCAAATCATGACTCGTTTGTACTAACCACTACCTTCGTA